GTTCCCGCCCCGGCGGCGACAGCCGGGCCCGGCCCCGCTCCGCCCGCGGCAGCGCCCGGCCGGCGGCCCGGAGGGAAAGGGGCCGAGAGCTGCGGGACGTGAGCCAGCAGCGTGTGCAGGGGGCCACGGCACCCTGGCCTGTGTCAGGGACAGTGTGGCCTGAAGGACCAGGGAAAGGATTGTCAGATCCTGTGCCCAGTTCTGTGCCCTTCAGTACGAGGAGGACATTGGGGTGCTGGAGCGAATCCAGAGAATGGCAGCGGAGCTGGTGAAGGGTCTGGAGCACAAGTCCTGTGAGGAGCAGCTGAGGGAGCTGGAGGTGCTTAGCCTCCAGAGAAAAGGAGGCTCAGGGGGATGTTGTCCTGCTCTACAACTTCCTGAAAGGAGGCGATTGCCAGCTGGGAATTGGGCTCTTCCTCCAAGCAACGAGTGACAGGACTAGAGGACATGGCCTCGAGCTGTGCTTGTTTAGATTGGATGTTAAGAAACATTTTTTCACCACAAGGGTGGTCAGGCGTTGGAGCTGAAGGGAGCTGCTCGGGGAAATGATGGGATCACCATCCCTGGAGGTAGTTAGAAGACATGTAGATTGTAGATGGGATTTAGAGACACCGTTCAGCGGTGGGATTGGCAGTGCTGGGTTAGTGGTTGGACACAATGATCTTGGAGGTCTTTTCCAGCCCAAACGATCCTTTGATCCAGCCGAGAATGTGCCACCTCCAGGGGCGGCCATGCCGGCGTGTGGCTGGTGTCCGTGAGGGAAGCGGCCGTGGGTGGTTTCACCCGTCCCGGCCGGTGCCTGGCAGGGCAGAGTCCCTGTGGAGGCACCGTGCCCGTGTGGGGCAGGGCCCAGCCCGCCTGCACTGAGGCGGCAGCCAGTCCAGGCACCAGGCAGGGTGTGAAGGCAGCGGCGACGAAGAGATGGGGACACCTCAGCGAGGTGCCTGTGGCAGGGCTGCTGCTGGCTTTGTGCTGAGCCCAGCAACAGCCTGGGCTGGGAGTGGGGATCCACCAAACATCTCTTCACAGAGATGAGAACATCTAGAACAGCTAGAGTTGTTCCACCTTAGGATTTTTCCATATCTCGAGTGAGTGATGTTAGGGAAAGTGGAGGAGTCCCATGAACAGAAGGTATTCAAAGCTGCAGTAATGTGTGTGGGCTAGATCCCACCTGCAGAATCACAGAACGATGCAGACTGGAAGAGTCCTCTAAAAGCCATCTGATTCAGCCCCAGAGCAGGGCCAGCTTAGAGAGTGTTTTGCTCATGGTTTTGCCCAGTTGTGTCTGGATATCTCCAATGGTGGAAATTCCAGGGCTTCACTGAGCGTCTCATCCAAGATTTGATTAACCTCAGATTAAAAATAAATTTCTGATGTTAAAACCCATGATGTCTCTCATCAGTTTGAGGTTTTAGGGTTCTGTACCTGGAAGTCAGTGCACAAAGCCATAAAGAGAACGTGGCTTGACAAACCAAGAAAAGCCCGGCACAAAAATCAGAAATAAAATTTATCCCAATTGGCATCAGCAGATGGACAAAATTATACCAAAGATAATAATTCCAGCACCAGTTCTGTAAAACTATTTCTATGTATTGTTGAGAAGCTTCATACCCCTGATTTCAGCATTTTGTTACTCCTCTCTGACTTTTCTTTGCTCAAGTGAAAGCATTGTAGGTGTGGCAGCAGGGGGAGGAAATGCAGCTGGATGTCACATCTGTGCCTGATGATATTTACTAGTGCCTTGTTATAGAGTGCATGTTAGCTCTGTGTCACGTTCTCTCTGACATGGTATGATCTGGATGTAATGACAGCAATTGCTGAGCTGGTAAGAGTTGCTACCGCTGCGGTTATAGCAGTGTCAAAGTGTTTGGAGGATGTAATTGATTTAACAGGAATTGATGTTATTTTTCTGATGGTTCTAATACTTAAGATTCTGGTCACCTAGCAAAGGAGCTGGCTTGGAGTGGTGCAAACCAAAAGGCCAGCTTTATCACACTTTCTCACATTCCCTGTGGCTTTTGTGCATCCTTTGCTTTCTTGAAACTGTCACGTGGCCTTTCTTTTACCATGACTTTAAACCTGCAGAAATAGACATGTTTCCATGCCTAAAAATACCAAACATTAAAATATCTAGGAAATGTGCAAGGGGCAGAAAGTTGGTTCTAAAACAAGAAAACTAGGCTCATTTGTTTGTTTTTAGCAGTGTGGTTCATTATTTAAATACTCTAGCCAGAAAGATAAACTGGAAGTTGTAAATGTTGGAATATGTTCAGGTTTTGCAGCACCCCTGTCCCACTCTGTATTTTCCCATGGAGAGCTGCAAGACAAATGTTTTATACCTTTGTGCTTTCTGTTCCATCTTTGTTTGGTTCCAGAGTAAAGCTGGGATTTCCTTTGGAAGTTAATTGATTGAGGAACAGAGACCCCTCCTGCAGAGGGAAAAAATTTTGTTCTTGATTTGATTACAAACAAGTGTTTTGTGGAAAAATATTAGCCCAGAAAGTCTATTAGGAAATATGCTTAGTTGGCATTGTAATTATCCAGTGTTGAAGCTGAGCCTCATCGAGATTCGCTCCATGCTGGACTCGAAAGAGGTGCTTTTTTGAACTGAAATTCCAAACATGTTTCAAGTAGTCCCTTTATTTTCTCATCACTTAGATGGTCTGTGTAGGTGAAATTCTCGTAGCCACACTGCAGCTGAGATCACCTGTGCTGATAGCTGCTATTAAACTGCATTTGAAAGAATATATTGCCTGTTAAAATTCTTAGGGTCTTAGAATATAAATTGTCATATGCTAATTTTTAACTGAAAAGGTGATCTGTTTCAAGCATTTCCTTTTAGTTACTCACTCATAAGCAATTGGTGTGTTTGGAAAGGTTTGATTGAGAAAGGCAAACACTGTGAAACTTCTTATCTTCTTTACTTTTGTAAAAGTACCACCACTAAGTTTGTGATACTTCTGGAGAAAATATAATGGATGTCTTTATATAGATAGAGATCTAGTCTTTATGTTCCTTTTCTTCCAATTCACCTCACCAGCTGTGCATTGAGCAGAGCTTCATCTACCTTGGTGAGTAATGCAATGCAGCAGGAAGAGATTTGTATAATGCAGTGGTGCTGAGGAACCCTCATCACTCTGTGTGCATTTCAGAGGTTTTATGCAGACCAGATCTCGTTCTGTCTGATCAAACTCCTGTGAGTTGCACTCCTGGAATGCATTTTTCTGGAGGGTTTCATTTCTAAGCAAGAGGTGGGAGGAATTTCATATAGAGAGGAAAAAGGAATCTCTTCTGATTAAAAAAAAAGGGAATGCTCAGTAGTGTTCAATTGTAATATGTCAGAATGAATGTGAAGGAATTGAGTGCTACCTATGCAATTTACTGTTTATATACTAAATTACAGTGTTTGTATTAAATGCTCTTAAGCATTCTCAAATTGTTATTAATTTATTTACTAATATGATGCTTCTTTTTTCCTTCTTGCACCACCTTCTGTAATCTAGTGAGCCACCATGATAAGCGATTCTGATGGAGATAGAAGCAAGCCACCTTCCCTGTGCTTCCCATCACTTGCTAATAATCTTGGTATGTCCCCTGACATTTCTCCATGTCATTTCTAATTGGGAATGTGACAGTGCCAGTGCCTGCCATCTAAAATACATTCTGATTGGATTGCAGCATAATGAAGTAATAGTGAATAGAATAACGTTTCTAGGATATGCAAAGATTGTCACTATTTCAGAGTGTATGAAGTTCTTAAATGTTTTTCTCTAAGCAAAAGTAGGTGTTACCAAATCTGTGTGTTTAATGTGGGTATGTGGCTGCTAACTGAACTTTAAACCAATCTGTGTTTCAGAGCAGTGACTTGAACATCTTGTTCACCCAAGGTAATCTCATTGTCAAGGAATATATTGTGTTTTGCTGTTGGTTTTAGGAGGCATGCTGAAGTTTTGTAGTTTGGGAAACTGTGCAGTTAAATCTGCTACTCTGAGCTAATCCATGTCCTTTGTTCTTAATTCATGTACACATCCTCTCCCTATTAGAACATTATAATTTATAAGGATACACCTGTGGTGTCTGAATTTTTAGATTTACGGTGATTATCAGGAAGAACAGTTCTTTATTGTGTTCTTTAGGCTTCATTAATGTATTTTTCTCTATTTTCAGTTCCTTCTGAAGACCCTGTGACAATGCAGCAGTCACCCTTCACCAGTGGGCATTGTGAAATGATGAGGCAGTACCTTTCTGCAGGGTACACATTGATAAGGCCTTGAGGCCATTATTCCCTTGGCTAAGCTTTTCTAGAAGCAAAGAGATGGGAGGCATTTTGTCCTATAGCAATGCACACATCTAAAATGAGGCAGTTAAGATTTATTTTCCCTGTCTGCTTTCTCCCATAAGGTCTTGATCTTTTTACACTTGCGTCAGTGAAACTCAGGAGTAATTCCGATGAGGTCAGTGAATCTGTATGAGTGCACAGCTGGTGTAACTGGAGGCAGACACAATCAAGCATAATTCATAGAATCACAGAATGCCTTGAGTTGGAAGGGGCCTTATAGATAATCTAGTTCCAACCTGCCCACCTTGGGCAGGGACATCTTTCACTACACCAGGTTACTCAGAGCCCCATCCAACCTGGTCTTTAACACTGACAAGGTTGAGGCATCTATCTCTTCTCTGGGGAACCTGCTCCAGTGCCTCACCACCCTCATATTAAAGAATTTCTTTCTAACATCTAATATCAACCTACCTTCTTTCAGTTTAAGGCCATTCCCCATGTCCTGTCTCTGCAGTTCCTGACAACAAATTCCTGTCCAGCTTCCCTGTATCTTCCATCAGATACTGGAAAGCTACTGTTAGGTCTTCATACAACCTTCTCTTCTCCAGGCTGAACAGTTCTCTCAGCCTGAGTTCATAGAATAGGTGCTCCAGTCCTGTTATCAACTTCTGGATGGCCTCTCTGGACTTGCTCCAACAGTTCCATATTTTTATGTTGGGATCACCAGAGCTGGATGCAGCACTCCAGGTGGGGTCTCACAAGTGCAGAGTACAGGGGCAGAATCCCCTTCCTTGCCCTGCTGGCCCTGCTGCTTTGGATGCAGCCTGGGATTCAGTTAGCTTTTTGGACTGTGAGCACACATTGCTTGGTCATGTTGAGTTTTTTGTCAACCATCATCACTCTATGGTGGTTGAGGTTACAGACAGTTGCAGTTCTCAGTGCTGGATTGGTTCTGAAGGGAGAATAATTCTTGGGTGGAACTGAAAGGCTGGAAGAAGTTTCCTTGCTAGGCAGTGCATCCAGCACATCATTGACTTACTGACCACTGTGGGAAGCAGTGTCATGTTTTCCTGGATTTCCTTGAAAATCTATTGTAGCTTCCCCCAGCCATAAATTCTCATGTTTAGCTGCATTCCAGAACTAATAATAAATAGAAACACTTTAGATGGGGCCATGGAAAGCTGTTTTGGGGGTTTTATCATATTAAAGGCTTTCTGATATGATAACAGACTAAAGGCTTTTTAATCAAAATTGCTCTAAAGGAAACTTTTAAATATATATTCTACATAAGGAGAAAATAAACCCAAAATAAGCAAACTAATTTCAGCTAAACATGTGCATAGAAAGCATTGTCTTGAAAAGAGTAGGCAATAGTCATCTTTGTAAATCCATTTGTATCCATTTGAGATAGTCTAGTTTATCCTAGGAGCATCATGGGGAGTAAGGAAGACAAATGGAGAAGACAAACAAGGAAGAAAGAACTGTCCTTTCAGTGCTGAGCTGCTTGATGAATTGTGACTTTTTTGTTTGTGTAAAAAGTCAGCTGGAAAGCTGGATTATAGAGACTGCATAACAGTTGCAAAGAAAAGTAGGAAAATGTCTCTCATGATTGCTGTGAATGTGTAGTCCTCTGTCATGCTCTAGTGTTTCTTAGCCTGGGGAATACAATACTGGGTGTATAAATTAACTGTTTATTATTATGAAAAGGTGTCTGTGCCAGACAATCTACTGAGAAAGTAAGTGTCATAGATCTACTGTGTGGTAGTTGTGAGTCAGATTGTTTAACACAATGGGAGAACTTGGTAATTGGAGTGTAGCAATGTGGCCATTGGGGACTTGGGTGTAACGAACAGTAAGGAAAGTGGTGCATACTAGCCATGTCTCATCATTCATAGCAGGGCTGTAAGCAGGAAAAGAGACAATGAACTGAAGGATGGGAAGGAGAAAGAAGTCATCAATAAGGAACATGATTTACACACTTTTCTTACTTCAGTGTACAATCATAATATCACCCCCTTCAGCTGGCTGTTAATCAAGCAATTGACAGGTGTTGGAACAGCAGCAGATCTTACCTGTAGCTGTTCAAACCTCTGTTTGCTTATCAGCCAGCCACTTTCTGGGTCTTTTTAAAAATGTTAAGATGAATCACATCTCTTTTCCTGAAGAATAAATAATGTCATTCTTATCTGGATGTACTAAATACAAATTTTAGCCTTTTTCCCAGGCTGGCTACTGAAGTCTGTGTTGCTTTCATTTTTTCATTTGTCTCAGTCACTGCCAGTCCATGGGCCTTTTCTGGTGAATACATGATTTGAACTACAATGAGCTCACAACTTTCTGACAATTACTGAAAACAGGTATGATCCACATTCAATAGCACGGAAAAGAATATTTGTCTGCCAGTTTTGCTGTTCAGTTATATTCAGTTACACATTTTGTTTATTCACGTTCTAAATTTTAATTATTTTACATATTTTTTGTGTAGGAATAAGTTATATGTTTATGTAATGCCTGGCACAGTGGCTCTGTAAACACTGAGAAAAACAGATCATTTTTTATTGTTTGTGTATGTATATATGCATACATATATAAGAGATATGAATACTATTATATTTTAAAAGTATTAAAGAGTCAGAAAGTACATTTTCATGATACTCAATCACACAGAGTGTCTGCAGTCTCAAAAATCCACCAATTTTTTCTCTGCATTTCAGTGCCATTTAAAAAAATGTTTGGCTTTTGTATTTGCTTTCATTGTGGATTGGAAACTATTCATGCTCTTACATATTTTGGGGATTCTTTGAGTGGGGAAAGAACCCCTGTTATTCGAAGAAGTAGTGTTTTAGATGAGGGCATGCATCTGAGTTTTACTAATAAGCCTACATCTCCAGATTTACTGATTTACTCATTACTAGAGGAGTCATGTTTTCAGAATTAAAATAGTGGCCCTGCTGTTTCTGTGCCTTGCAGCCTTGCATAAAGTAGTCTTGACAACTGGCGATATTCTAGGTAACTGCTAACAGCTCTTACTGACAAGTGCATGTCAGTGGTTTCTCCACTGCATCTCTTACTCTCTGACACTGTGCCTGCACTGTCCATATTGGGGACTTAAGGGAACTCTCTGCAGAGAAACTACTTGAGAGAGACTTAGGGATCCTGTGACATCAGGGGCAATTCCTTGGATACACGGGGATGAGGGTACTATTTCTGCACAAGGCTTGACAGGCACTTAGTATAGGGCCAGTGAGGCAGTCTGGGTTTGAGCATGTAGTGAAGGGGAGCGTGGAGCACTGAGAATTGGGTGCTTCTGGCACTGATGCTGATACGTTTCTTTTAAATAAGCCTGGTGGCAAAATACTTCCTGCCATGATCCTCTCAAATACTGACTGCATGGGAGAGGTTACACTTCAGAATCTTTCTCACTTTACTTACAGTGAGGTCGCTTTGGTTTGTATTACCTACTGATTTTAAAAGTATGGTGATGTATGCGGCTCATTTTAATTTGCAGAGGGGCAACAAAACACTTTAAACAATTTATGACTAATTTAATAAAAAAAAATGTGTCTAGCCTGTGTCACTGTAATACATTTAATGACTCTTGTGTGTGAACTGCAACAGACAGATCTGAGATGCAAAACATGGTGTTATTTCTTGAGCAGAAGCTGTAGGGGTTATGCAACTGATGAGCTGCTTTGGCAGCCTTTAGTGCTTTTCTTGACATTGTGTGTGAATTGTCTTCCAATTCAGAACCCATGTATAATTAATTAACTTATACTTTATTTGTAATTAGTTGTAGTGCAGTTATCTTAAAAAAACATCAAGATCACAATTTAATTAGTGGTGGACTATGCCTGAGTTAAGTTTTCCAAGCTGTTTTGTATGTATCAGAATGCAGACTTTATTTGCATAGTCACAAACTTTTTTTCCCAAAAACTGTGCTTTGTTCAGTGTACTGCATAAGCAGTGCTCAATAGCATTATGATTTTTCTTCTTTATTCAGTCAATGTCTGTTGCACTCAGTTGGAGCATGTTCCCAAATATATAAATTATGTTTTTTTGCTCTTGTCATCACAGTATTTGTACTTGTCTTCAGTTATTCCAAATGTAGCTGGTATTTGATTTTCACACACTTCTTTATACTTCACAGTATTAGTATTATTCCCAGTCAATAGAAAGAAAACTGAGGCACATGCTCCAAACTCTGTATACTTCCATTTCCCCATACAGTGGATAGTTTTAGGATAATGAATGCTGTTAGTATGGAATTTGTCTTTTCCCTTATGTGCTTTACAGAGTACAGTTACATACTGCCCTTTTCCCCACTGAGCAAGCCTGATGGTTTGAACCTTTAGGCCCAGCAGAATCCTAAATTTTCCTGGTATTTCCAACATGCTTTGTTTTAAACTTCCTCTCCTGCAATTGGAAGTGCAGTGACTTCCCTGACTCCCACCACTGGAACTTTCACAGTAAAAAATAAGGCCCTAAAAATGTAAGGCCTGAACAGCCTGATCTCCCATAGATCATCTGTGTGCCAAGGTTACCAATGAAAGTGGTAAAAACGGATCACTGAACTATGGGGAACAAATAAAGAAGTGTCATGGTGTTCTAGAAACACATTCATGACAAAATAATTTCCCCCAGAAGAGCCAAAAATACATTTGAGTCCATTAATTTGAGTTGCAAAATGACCTTTCTGCAGAATGTTTTTACTGGGGAAGATGTGTTCGGATTGTATCTACTGAAAAATTAATGTGAGAGTTTGTATAAATACACGTGGAGCCTTACAGCCTATAGGGGTAATTTCACCTTTGTTGCTGACTCCACCTCCAGTAACTGTTTATATGAACTGAAAAATTAACTAGAACAGCTTGTGCCTTAGAAGAAAAAAGCCCTACACATGTTGAATTTGGTTCAGCTGTGAAATTCTGGAAGATGACAGCTATTCCAAACTTAACTGTGGGACACAACAGAGATCTAGACTGCCCTTTAGCCAGTTTATTGTAAAACTAACTAGTTTCAAAGTGGAGAAACATTTAAATGCTCTCCTGTCCTCCTTTGCTTATGCTTAATTGAACTTAGGCAGGGAGAGAGGTGAGCAAGTTAAGAAACAAAGGACTTGTCCACGTTCTATGAAAATAGGCAACAGCCTTCACCATGGGTAGGTTATTGCTAGTAGATCTCAAGAGCAGTCCAAGACTGGACAGTGTACAAAACTGATACTCATTTCTCCTGACATAAGAATATGTCTGAAGTTGGTGAGAGGGATCACAGCTGGAAGGAAACAATTGTCTTTAGAACTGGAATTGGAAAATTCAGGCCTTGCTGTTTCTACATCAGGCATGGCAGGAACATCGCTCATTTTCTCAGTGCTGGTTCTTAATGCAACTGAGTGTCAGGGTAAAGATTTGTTGGACAGCATGGAAGGACAACAGTTCTGGAAAGGAAAACTTGTGCTGTACATAAAGAACATGTTATCCCTGTTTGTAATTCAGTGTTGTGCCTAACGCTGCTGTATACAAGAATGAATTTGCTGCTTTTATTAATCTTTTTATCACTTCTGTGGAATGAATAATAAGTAGATAGTATTCCTTTTTACAAACTGGCAATTTGTTCAACCAGGTTGCTTTCTTGACTGTGTAACTTGAGTATCATTGATAGTGATACTACACTGGTGTATCTGGAAAGAGAAATGAGAGCATTGAGACTGCAACTTGTCAAAGGTCAGTCAGTCAATGTGTTCAAATGCTGAGTTTAGAACACAGCAGTGCCTAATATCCTGTGCCCATAATCTCTACCTCATACCTCAGTGATTTAAAACCTGTGCCCCTCAGATAATTGTTGTCTGGAAACTCTAAGTTAGTTGGCAGTGTTTCTTTCTGCATAAATAAAGGCATATAGTCTTTGCATTCCTAGTCTCTCACACACACCCCTCTCTCACTGTGACCAGAACTATTGCTGAATGATGTGGTGCCCTTTTAGATGACAGTTTCAGTTAAATCAGTTAAGGGTCACAGGCTGGCCTACAAAGGGATTTTTTTAACTAGTTGTATTAATGAAGAACAAATTGTATCATCAGTTTCAGCTTTCACATTGCCCTAGTCACACAGTTTCTTCGTTGCTTAGTAGCTCTGTGTGGTAAGGCTAGGCCAGCACAAAATAGGAACATGGGCAAGATTCTGGGAACACATGATGTGTGAAGGTTTCTTCAAAAGGTTTGTAACAGGCCATGCTATACCCCTACTCCTGCCCCTTGCATTCTCGTCACTGAACCATTTTTAAAACCCTGGATCTGTCTCGCCATTTTTTCCGCTCTTACGCCAGCCCTATTTGTAGTTTCCCCACCTGTTCCTGTGTGTATTGCGTTGTAGCTGACTGCATGTTGCTCCACAACTTCAGTGTGCCAACAGACTGGCTGCAGTGTGGTATGGAAATTACAATATACTTTTCACAGTTTTTCCTTTGCCCACTTCTAGTATGTGCTAAACATCTACCAAAGCTTCTGATATTATTTAGCCCGTGATCTAATCTGTCTTTGTGAGTTGCGCCTACCCTGACAAGAACCATTAAACCAAAAAGACACCCTCAAGAATCTAGCTCAGGGGATAAGGGACTTCAGGTGTCGTGATTCCCTATGGATAGAAATGCATCAGAATGTGAAGTCTGAGGGCTCTTCTCATTCATGAAAGGTATGATCTTGTGCAGTGCTGCTGCCTGGCAGTGCCATCACTAGGGGTTTGCCCAGCTACCTCACACCTTTCAGCACTCGCCTTGCACTCTGTGATTGTTATTACAGTATCACAGTACTGCTTAGTGACTCTGGCAGAGATCAGATGTTGATTGATTCCTACTGGTACCTGCCCTGAACCCTCTCTGAGAACCAGGGCCATCTGCTGTGCAGGATGCAGGGCTCTAAGCGTGGCCCTACAAACAGTAGGAACACTGCCTCCAAGGGTATAAGGGACCCTAAATCCCTGAGCAAGCTTGATATCCTAGAATAAAGCTAGGGGTGCTTGGGTGCAGGCCACACAGTCAGGAGAGGTGAACATGGAGGTGAAAGATGTATGATAGGTAAAGCACACTGTAATCATAATTGTTGTGTAGATTCCTCAGGGCTTTTAGACAGAGAAAGCCTCTGCTCCTGAGAATTCTTTTCTAGGTGGACATTAGGGACCAAAAGAAGGATTTCTGACACTGTTTCAGAGATGGCAGAGTGCAGCACGAAAAATTAATTTCTCTC